ATTACTGAAACATACATTTGATTTAATATGAAATGCAGGTACGTTTATGTTTTTTGTAATTAATGATCTGAAAAAAAAAAATGTCATTTGAAACGTAAGCATATGATAAATAAACTTGCGTATTAGATTAGAAAACATAAATGTGTATATGTATATATATACTACATGTGAATTTTGATGGAAATTAAAATATTTGCCTTTTTAAAAGAAATGTTAAGATTTAAAAAATACTTGTATATATATATATATATAGAGGGAGAGAGAGAGAGAGAGAGAGAGAACTTTAAGAACAGACATACAACTTTACAGGTATCATATAGTAAACATAAGGAATACAGAATGATTCCTAGAAACTTACCGTTTTAGAGGATGGATCAATCACAAAGACTGGTAACTTTGTCATTTATATAAAAATAGAATCGATTAGATCGGATGTACAAGAAATTAGTAATGGAAGGTATTCTCTTTGAAAACTAAGAAAATTAATGTTCCGGTTTTTGCAAATTAATAAATAATATGGCAAATTCTTTTGATATGACCTTTCCTTTTCCTATGTTTTCAAGATCCTCTTTCATGTTAATTCCATCAAATTTATTGTATTAATGCACGGATTCTATGTATTATTTGAGACTTAATTAACATCAAATTTTGTTCATTTCCTCCAAAATTATCCAAACTGCTTATTCGATTTGTTTACATTATCCGATAATCGAAATGAGTTTAAGTATATTCTGTTTATTCTGCTAAGTATTTGTAATGGTCTACATATAGGAATAGACACTAAACTAGGGACTGTCGGAGGGATTTATGAAAGGATGGTCTGGACTTAATTGAAATGTGAAGATAACGAACAGTGATAATATCTTGCTTAAAAGTCTATTTAAACAATAGAAATTCTGAGCAGAGCCAACTCAGACCTCTGGAAACAGAGGAGGGATTAATAAATCCATAGACTATTCAGAGTGAGAAATAAGCCTTAAATACTTGCATAAAGATGTCAGGCAACATGATAAAGTCATTGTATCGACCCTAGAATTTGATACCCAGTCTATCAATTAATTTTCATTCGTAAATATGTTTTATCATTAACAAGTGCAGAGGGGTGGATGATTTCGTTCAAAGTTTTTAAATGTTTTATAACAGTATTAATTCAAAATTTGTGCAAAGGTATTTTCATACCCCCCCCCCCCCCCTTGAAAAAGAAAGCATATTGCTTTATTGCTTAGAACCTGTTAGTCGGTCAGTATGAGCAAATATGTTGTCCGCTCAATTTGTTGAGAACCCTGTACACTGGAATCCTCTGAGCAGAAGATGACCCATATTGATCTTTAGGTCAAAGATCAAGGGTCAAACTATAATACTCTAGACATTGCAATATCATGCCCGTTCGATATTTTCGGACAGAGTCCTATGCTTGATGGACATTGGTTTCCCTTAAAACATAGATGATGCCTATCGATTTTTAGGTCACAAGGTCAAGGGTCAAACAACATACAGGAATAGTTTGACTACTAAATATCTGAGAATCCTTTGCTTCACAAACATCACTTGTACACTTCTTCCCTTTAAGGAGTAGATGACACCTATTGATTTTGAGATCACAAAGGTTAAGGTTCAAACTGGACACAAAAAAATATTGACCGCTCAGTATCTTGAGAACCTTTTCCTTAAGAGACATGAAATATGGAACATGTACAATAATTCCTCCTGAGGAGTAAGTGACCAGATTTTGAGGTCCAACTACTCTAGTAAAAGGAAGAAACTGACCGCTGAATATCTTAATTTAGAACCTTTTGCTAAACAGACTTCAAACTTGATACACTGTTTTCTCCTGAGGAAAAGATGATCACTGTAGATTTCAAGGTCGCAAGGTCAAGAGTCAAACTACTCTTGACACGAAAAGATCTTGAACGCTCAATTACTTTAGAATCCTTTGCTTGACAGACATTACACTTAGTACACTGGTTCCACTTAGGGAGTTGATTTAAAGGTCACAGGGTCAAAAGTTAAATATATACTAGAAATAGGAAGATACTGTCAGCTCGGTATCTTGAGAACCATTAGCATTACAGATCTCAAAATTTTAATACTGTACACTGGTACCCTCTTGGAAGGAAATTACATCTAATGATATTCAGGCCATGATAGAGATCAAACTTAAAATTATGTTTGTCCCTGACTAGTAGATAACTGATTGGTTTCATTATCATTACATACGTTCTAAAATTAAAGTTATTCCATTTATAGCTCACCTGAGCCTAAAGCTCTTGACCAAATTTGTCCGTTGCATGTCTGTCATCTTAAACTTTTCACAATTTCATTTTGTTATCCTGAATCACTGGTCCAATTTCATCCAAACTGGAAACAAAGTATTCTTGTGTAAAGAGAGTTCAATTTGTACAATTAAAGGTCCACCCCCCCCCCCCTTTAAGGGAGATAATTAAGAATAAGTGAAAAATTAGTTCATCTTTCAAAAATTTTACTTCTAAAGAACCATGTACTGAGCCAGAAAAGTTAAAATGTAGAAAGAATTTTTTTTTCAAATCATGATCTTCGGGGCAACAATAGGAGATCAAAGTTTTACATAGAAGTATATAGGAAACGTCTTCTCAAGAACCACCGGGTTAGAAAAGTTGAAACTTATGAGAAAGCTTAATATCATAATGTAGAATAAATTTTGTTCAAATCCCTAACAACCTATAGCTAGGGTAGGGTTGGGCCACAATGGACAATCAACGTTTCCATAGGAATATGTAGGGAAATAAAACTTCAAAAATCTTCTCATGCATAACAGGAAAGGAATGATGAATCATGCAAAGTTATATGGAAGCATCCTCACTTCTCATGTACATAATTATGTAGATAATGTACATGTATATTCAAGTTTGTTCAAACCATGAACCTGCAAGGGAGTAGGATAGGACCACAAAGGAGGATAAAAGTTTTAGATAGGAATAAATTGAAAACACATCTTTAAAAATATTCTTCTCAAAATATGAAAGGCATGATTATTTATATTGACATGGAAGCATCGTCAGGTAGTGTCAGGTTTGTTTATGTCATGAACCCCGGGAGTAGGAGGGGGCCACAATGGTCGGTCATTGGTCATTAAAAGACAATGGAAGTCTTATAAAGTATATATAGAGAAAAATTCATTTAAAAATCTTCTTAAGAACAGCAAATACATGAGCAGTCATATTGATATGAACACTAGAACACTAGTAGTGTTGATTAAATTTTGTTCAAATCATGATCTAGAGCAGAGTCCCCAGCCCCCAGCAACTTCTGGATTTTTTTTTACAAAAATTTCAATAAAGTTACTGTTATTTCGCTTTTCTTTAAAGAAAATAAACACCTACATGTAGTAATATAATGTTTCTAACGCAAAGTTAATACTTGCATGGAGATAGTTTGTACTGACTGCGATTTTTGAGATCAAATATGCCTTTAGAGATGTTTATAATTATCGACGCACAACATTCATTGCATATTTTCTAGACATGAAGGAATAAATATGGAATATGAAAAGACGTTATTACATATGTCAATGTTTAGTCAATAAAAACCACTTACGAGGGGTTATCAAAAGTTTGTGGACTGATGCGATAAAATTAATGCTATGTAGTCTGTGCTTACAAAATTTATAAGAAACATAAAATATAACTTTGCATCTTTCATCTCTCTGAATCTTTTTGGGCATTTAAAAACAAATACTCTGGATGCAGAGTTTATTATTTTAATTTATTTTTCTGGAGCCCGTTTAAATATTCCCTAAGTCTCAATCGAAACTTCTCAGGCTTTTCCGACAAGCGGAAAAACAGCCTCGAATGTGTAATGTAGGCGTCTATGACAACCCCCCTTTTCATATATTTTGAAATAAATATAGGGAGACCTCTTATCTGTAGAGTTTGTAGCTCAAATTTATTGAATTTAAAGATGTTACCTTAAAATATACTACAGGAGTGACTTTTTAGTCTGTCTTTATATATATATTCAAATGAGATCATGTGTTGATAAGGACGATGCAATAAATGTCTACTGTCACAGTAGCAGAAGTTACAAAATATGAGCAATAAATTACTATTTGGGCGGGGATGGGAATGGGGTAAATTGGAATTATGTCGCCGATATCGGAGGATGTAGCAATTCTTTTTAAAGCCGAATTGCTGCCTATAATGTGTGTGTGTGTGGATGCATTATCACGTGATCCCACCTTCCTTGTCTTGATTGACGTCCCTTCGAGAATTCTTCTCTAATCACTACGCCACGCGGGCGACTGCTTCCTGCATTCTTATCTCCTTTTGCAGGCGAAAAAATAGTAGAGATGCAATGCTTTAATAAGTGCTTTATTTAACACGTATGAAAGAAATTGGAGGTTTCTTTATTTGTTTTAATAAAAAAAATTAACTTATGAATTCAACTTTTTGTCTTAGCTTTGGCATGGGAGTACCTCTCAAAACTACATGTTCTTCATTTTTCTTCGTGTATTTACACGTACATTAATTTTACTATATAACACACACAAGAAGAGTGCATGAATCAGGATTTAAAACACAATTCATCTTATATGTCTTGTTTTACAAAGTAACTGTTAGTTCTTTGTATCTTGTTGAAGTGGGCACTTAATAGCCCTACCAGAGCTAACTATAGTGCATTATAACAACAATAGTGATATTTTGATATTTATTTCCGTTTCAAATAACTATATTCAAAGGGTTTGTTTAAACATTTTACAGGAAAATATACTTCACACTCGTAACCGATTAAGATATTTTAAAATGAAAGTTAGATTAATCAGAATAATTTAAGCATTTAAATGGTATTTTTTTTCCAAATACTTTTGAACCAGTAAAACATCGATTGTAGTATTCATTTATGTGTAATACTGTTTATTTTCACTATTTCAGAAATCTTATTTTTTTCAAACACTTCATTCGTCGAACTAAATGTAAACTAACACATTTTAAACTTATCCAGATCGGAAGTTTATCGTCACGTGTGGAGACTTCGAATGCCTTCCTGTTGCTAAACATACGTTTTCTCACCGAAAAAATGTATCAGGGAAAATTAATCATGAAAGCATTAATTTCCTCGATGAAAAATGGTGGATGATTAATGTTTGGGAAACAGTACAATTTGACCATAATGCTTAAATTGGTGGCATCGTTTATAATGAGGAGTTTGATTTTTGGAACTTTTGTTGATTGTGGTAAGTTAATTTCCAAAAATTGAAATTTAAAAAATGCAATATTAAATCCTAGAGGTCTATGGATGAATGATTATGTTCATGAAATAAGATACAGGTATCATAACACACAAAGTATGCACTAATTACTTCATAAATGCATATTTATTATACATGTAGGTAATGATAAATAAATTAAAAAGATTAAAATAAAGATAAACATGAAAAAATTGTTTGTTATTAACTATGTATAAATTCCTCAAAAGGCAAGTATTGGTTTATGTTGTGATATTCATAGCTGTCTATCTGTTTATGGAATATGAGGAAAATGCACTTGCAGATCTAGATAAGAGTGTATAGCTTTTCAACATCTATTTATATAATATATAAAAGTTAGATGAATTTTGAAAAAATCAACAGGATACATCAAAGTGTATTTTGAAGTGTTCTTAAGTGTTCTTTTTTTAAAATGGCATATCCGCGCGTTAATAAATCAAACAGTCATTTAATTTCCCTGTTAAAGTTCTAAATTAAACACAAGTTTAAGTTATTAAAAAATCACTCAAAGTACAACTGAATTTCGGAATTTTAGAACATATCAGACACCGAACCAACCTGAAATATCCTTGATTAAATGTACATGTATAAATTTAAAATACTCTCAAAGGGAAATGTCATTGATGTACACGGAATGAATGTTCGTGGGAGAGTAGAATTTATGTACACACTTACATGTATATGCATAAAAGTATGCTTCCTTTACATGGAAAAAATTGAGAATTTTTTTTTCAAATCGAGGATAGATAGTTGTCCTGTATGATTGAAAATTAAAAAACCCGGAAAACTAAGTCTTTGTTCTCAAATTTGAATGAAATTTAGCCCACAGATAGAGAAAATAAATGGATGCGTTTTTCCCCCATTAACATTTAGACAGTGTTTTATTCAACAATATTTCCACCTATTGTAACATGTAATTTTACCAGTGAATCGTAGAATGATTTAACTTCTGTTTTCTCATAGCGCATAATCTTTTTTTTTATTCTTATTCCAGCGAAGTTGACTTAAATTGAATTAATTGTCAGTTGGAATTTGTTTACAAATTTATACAAGATACACACTTTCCCTCTACACTATTGAAGTGCTGCAGAAAATAGAGGCAATTAACTTAAGTGATCCCCCCCCCCAAAATGATTTTTATGCCCCCGTATCGAAGATTCGGGGGTATATAGTTTTTGCCCTGTCCGTCCGTCTGTGTACCTGTCTGTCTGTTTGTCCGCAAAAACTTTAACCTTGCCCATAAGTTTTGATTGGTTGGAGCGATGGCTTTCATATTTCACATCTGTATTCCTTGTGAGAAAACCTTTCTTTGGGTACCACCATAATTGACCTTTTGACCTTGGAGTTTGACCCAGTTTTTCAAAATTTTACCAAACTTTAACCTTGGCCATAACTTTTGAACAGTTTATGCTAGGGCTTTCACACTTCACATGTGTAATCCTTGTGACAAGACCTTCCTTTGGATACCAACAACTTTGACCTTCTGACCTTGACATAGGAGTCTGACCAACTCTTAAAAAAACTTTAACTTTGGTCATAACTTTTGAACAGTTGGTGCTAGGGGTTTCATACTTCACATGTATAATTTTTGTGATAAGACCTTCCTTTGTATACCAACAACTCTGACTCTTTGTCCTTGACCTTGGAGTTTGACCTACTTTTGGAAAACTTTAACCTTGACCATAACTTTTGAACAGTTGGTGCTAGGGCTTTCATATTTCACGTGTGTAATCCTTGTGACAAGACCTTTCTTTGGATACTAACAACTTTGACCTTGACCTTGGAGTTTGACCTACTTTTGGAAAACTTTAACCTTGGTCATATCTTTTGAACGATTGGTGCTTCGGCTTTCATATTTCATCTGTGTATTTCTTAGGAGAAAGCCTTTCTTGGGCACCATTAATTTTGACCATTTGACCTTGATGTTTCACATACTTCTGAAAAAAAAAATTAACCTTTTCCATAGCTATTCAATGGTTGCTGCTAGGGCTTTCATATTTCACAGGTTTATTCCTCGAGACAAGACCTTACTCTGGGTACCAACATATTTGATTTGCATTTGAGAAAGTTTAACCTTTGCTATAAGTTGCCAAACGAGGGCATCAGTGTTTCACAAACACATCTTGTTTGTTTAGAAAACATGACATTTAAAAAAAAATGAATTAGTCAAGTAATTCTTTTAGTTCATAAATATAATTCATATTAATTGGTTGTGAAAATTAATTGGTGATCTAAAGTTTTGTGATAATATCCAAATTATTTGGTACTTATAAAAACATTTATCCTGGTCCTATATTGTACTTCATATCATCCCCACCCACACACTCCCATTTCGTGAATTGAAAACGTAGTTTTAAAACACTATACATTCCAAGCAAAGTCGGAGGAGTTCAAAAAATACTCAGATATCTTCCTTATCTAAAATTTAGATTTTGTAGTTTTCCAGTTTAATCAAGGAATTTACTGTTAGAACAATATCAAAATATTTATCAACTGGATCAAGAAATGTAAAGAAACATTTATTAGAGGTATTACTTTACGCACATAGTCTTTCCTGAGGTGCGGAAGAAATTAGATTTTATGTAAATATTTCCTGTTCCTCCAGGAAAGTATAAGATTGCTCATTCATGTGTCGAAAGTAGTTTTGATTTTTAGCCCATTTTTAAAAATTTTTGTGATGGAAAAAATACGTCCTTTAATATATATATATATATGTGTGTGTGTCAAATTTGGCTTCGCCACCTGTCTCTTTAATTTCCATTAAAAACGTTTAGAACATAAATACTTCCTCCTACGAAACGGGATATGGCAAAGTTTGGAGCTGTTACATAGGGAAAACAGTCATCTGCGATATCATTTTAATTTGTCAGATTGACGTTATCAAATAAACTTTCGCAGATCTAGTGGGTAATTCTCACCCATAAATTTACACGCACGACGAATTTCGAAGAAATAAAATAAATAAATGAAATTTAAGTTAAATGTGATGATTCCAACTTTCCTATCGTGAATTTCCCTTATTAATGTAGCAATATACCATTATCACCTGCTCTATGGAGTTTATGTCTCCCAGCTGATTCGAGACGCGAGGGCATGCTCTACGTGCGAACAATTTCTAAAGCGAGACGAGCTATTTACAAATAAGTTGATGAAAAAAGAATATGAAGTCAACATTTCGCATTCTATGGTCAATCAGGGCTCTCCATGTGCCGTTTAATGTGGCGCCCCGCCATAGTTAAATTCCTTAGTGCCCAGTTAAAAAAATCAGCGCCATAGTTCCCCCACAGTTAAAATATTAGCGCCACAGTAAGATCGTCGCCGTCAGTAAGATAAATATATTAGATTTATAAACCAACGAACCTCCATGTTATGTACCGTTTTACAGTTTCTAATGCTAAGCCGTTAATTTACTCTAATTAGGGCCCTTTGTTTGGCTTGCACAAGCAATTATCTTCTAGACCTCGCTGGACACTTGAATGAAAAGAGACAAACCATTTTTTCACACTTCACGATAATTGCAAATACAATTTTTAATATTAATTCATGCTTTAATAGTTCTACAGATAACCATGTCTCTAAAATTGCACTGGCACAGAGCCAAGCATCGTACATGTACGTGTATCGTTATCATGTATTTTTGTAATGTTGAAAAATTAACGATAGATCCACCAAAGTATATTTTCATGACTCTAAACTTTTTTTTTATTCACAAATTTTAAGATTATTTTGATTTTGTTCAGTTATTTTGTTAATTGTGAGTGGTGGGGCGCTCGAGTTTGCTTTCAACTTTTACACACCTCTGCTTGATAAAAAATACACAAACACACACACACAATTTCACAATATCGTAACAAATCCAGAAATTTCCTGTAGAATTGCTTAACCCACACTGAAATCCTGAACTGAATTAGTATGTCGATTTATTGTAAATTGTTAAGCCTACCCCCTTTACGACCCATATTCATGAAAAAAATAATAAAAAATAATATGAGTTGTTTATTATATAGTACTAGTTGTCTTTGTGTCATATTTTCATTTTAAAATGTTAGTGATATTATTATCATTGCAATATACATGTAACATTTTACATTTATTGACTGGGTTTGAGGGCAACATGCGATTTGTCGGACTGAAGAAGCTAACTGTTTGCTTCAAGGAGTCGACAAAACGCATTTTGTCCGAGAACAGTCAATAAATGTTTTGTTATACCTTTTTATTTTGACGTATCATGCGCTGACTTCAATTTTGCGATAACTGTTGTAAATTTTGAATTTCATAGGGGGAGGTAAATGCAAAATTAACATGATATTAAGTTATCATAGTGTAAATTTTGCATTTACCCCCCCCCCCAGTAAATTAAAAAAAAAATACAAAATAAATTAAATAGGATATAGCGGATCCCATCTTACGTAATAACGTCATAGCGGTCCGATATTTCATTGACAGGTCCAATATCTTTCTCAGCGATTCAACATCGATATTTTGTGGACCGCTCAAAAACACTGGAAATTTTAGACCTTTTTAGTGTAGATTTATAAAGGAAACAATGTTTAAAGGTATAATAACAATTTTAGTTAATTCATTACGGCAATACGTAGTTGACTGACAATAAGAAATAGCAAATTAGTTATGGAGACATCGACTAAGGATGTCTATAAGTCCAAAGTATTCTGATCAATGGTTCATCTGTTAACCGTCTTATTTTACCTCTGTCGTATGAATATTGACTGATCTGTACTTGTTATTCAATTTCCTATTATTCTTCACATAAATATGTTTATGCAGCAATATACCCTTATCACCTTCATACGGGGTTTATATCTCTCTGTTGATTCGATACGCCAGAGCATGCTCTACGTATGAACCAAACAAGTTGATGAAACAACGCAGCTCTGTTAAGGCTGCATAAAGGGGGCGGGGCCTAATTTATACGGAAAAAGTTTACTGTGACATCACAGAAATATAGCAATTCCTCACAATAACAGAAAATGAAATAATTTGCGATTCTAAACTGCATAAGCGTAATGAACTACATCAAAACTTACCACTGTATTCATTTTTGTCGCTAGTTAAATCCCACACAGCAAGATACGAACAAGTCACTGATCGCAATGCACTTGTCGACATGACGTCATCATGGTAAAATTTAACGCATTTTATGTGCAGTGAGAGGCGGATCAAGTAATTTTTTCACAGTGAAAAATGCATTTTATTATAAAACAGAATATTATTTGCAAATCTTAGGTAGACCATTAATACAAATCTGAAACGTTTGTTGAGTGTCATTATTTAAAAAGAATCGAGAGAATGCATTGAATTAATTCTACCGTGTTTTTTGTCTACAGGGTGTGCATGTTTCACGCCGAGGTGCCTCATCAAATCGCCTTTTCGCAAGGGCATACACTTAATAGATCTTGACCATTTTTTGAATATACATAACGGACATATTCCTTAACTTGAAAAGTGCTGCTGCTTTCCTGAAATCGAGAGCATTACTTAATTATTACATAAAATACTTGATAAAGGTCACAGATATTTCGACATAAGCTAGATAACTTGAAATTTAAACTATTAAAATGCGAATTCTATTTAAAGCAGCAGCACTTTCCATAAACTACAAGTTATGTAGAAACAATTTATTACTTAAATTTTTTATTTTAACTAGGGTATGCCCTTGCAATATTGAAATTTGTTTGTGACCTACATACAGTACACATTATATGCATTTATCACGTGACTGTCAAATAACGTGACCAAATCAAATTCAGTACAGAGCGAGGTATACAATGTTATTTCAAATAATATTTAAAGTCATGTGATAATATAGTACCTTTACAAAAATAATTCAGTTTAAAAAGGTACATGTATGTATTTATGCACGTTTATATTCTGTTGATTTCTTCGAAGTACGCCTTAACACTGCTGCGAAGAATATCAGCAATCTCGTTTTAAGTCATCATTTCGTAAGTTCTATGGTCGATACAATGACCTTGTCAGCAAATACAATCTATTATTAAGTCATATGCAGACTGATTTTTTTACTAATTGTTAGGCCATTATTTACACACTTAATTGTCGACGAATTTTTCCGTTATTTCCCGATCATGACAAGGAGCACACGGCGGGTTTGACCGGTCGGCAGGGGATGCTCACTTCTCCATGGCACCTGATCCCACCTCTGATGTCTTAGAGGTCCGTGTTTGCTCTACTCCTATTTTGTAATGTTTAATGGACTTTTGAGCTCGAATACTGTTCGTTATTTCCACATATTTCATTTAATGCAGATGTTAATATATAAAGAAAAGGACGTTTAATCTGACTGAAATTTCTACATATCGATTGTTGTGCCAAATCCAGACCTTTTTCTCTTCTGGCATCCCACTTTAATTCTTATAATCTAAATCCTACCCTGTGTATTACATCTTTTCAAATCATTTATAAACTTAAATTATTTGTTCTGTAAAATATCCGCATCCTTGTATTCAAACATGTCCTTAATTTCTCTCTTAATAGCGTATTAGGTTAATAGTCAGCATATTCTTTTCTTTCTGTTATTAATAGGACACATCTTTATAACTATTTATTAAGTATATGATGTACATGTATTTGCATCTGCTTTCTCTTCCACATTCCACACTCTTTGGGATGTGCTGAGTGATAAAGTTTAGAAGCCATCTTAGTCGAAGTTGCGATAAATCATTTTCTGTTTTTCGATCCATGAACTATTGCATTGCCCCTTAATATATGAAGCATTTTACAGATCTTGTAAATGCATACAAGTAAGTCATAATTATTCAAATACAAAAGTAAGTCATTCATGGAAAAAACCTCTACATAACACAATTTTTAAGCATTCTAAAAGAGTAAAATTAATTATGGCTGATTAGCGTCATTAAGTGATAGAAAGCGGAAGAAATTACGCCAGAAGCGGAAGGAGAGTCAGGCCTGGGTCTGTTGTTCTTTCATAAATCTAAGTCTTTGGTGTTTTCCCCTAAGCATTCTATATTTAATTGAATTAGTGTATTTGTGATAATCAATATACATATTTTTTACAGGATTCTCCTTCAATTTTCAAGCTAAACTGGACAACGACACATGTAAAAAGGGAATTTCGGAGAAAAAATGCGTTCTCCACAGTACCATCCCTGCTCGTGAAATTCTGATTTTATCAACTGGTATAAAAATAAAACCAATCGAATCAGGTAATGATCATTTTAGGAACACTCGTCAAAGTTTCAGGTAAACTTTGTTGTACATGTATGTACGTCGCCAATTAGATTTTGAATACTTCAGCCTCTTCTTGAAATTCCTTAACCAGCTGAAAAAAGTAAATATCATTGAGTGGATTGGGTACATCAGCTATACATTTGAGTGTTTCCATCGGTCATCCTTTAAGGTGTAAAAGGTTAGACCAATTACAATGACCACTATTTAGGAAATTTTTATCTAGCACCATTACCTACAGGAATACAAATGAACAAAAAATTGTGAAATTTTCGCCCCTTTCTTCAGAGGTTTGGGGTCCAATTTGAAGTAAAAAATATCAGATATTTATTTAAAGCAGATTTACATACCTTTTAGAATTTTCTTTATTTCAAGGCACTCAAGCGTTAACTAAAATTAAATAAATGGAGGGTTTAAGCTGATGGACAATGAAAAAGTGTTTGATCTTCTAAATTCATTTTCTTTACATTTTATAAGACATATCGAGACGTCTTCTTCGAAATAATGATATTCTTGTCCCTTTGAACATAAAACTGATCAGTATTGAAATTGCCCAGACTTGCACAATTACTAATGTTTAATGGATAATTAATATCTGTCTGCTGATATCAGACAAACCTTTACTACAATAAGAATACTAAAAACCGTATTTTTGTAACGGACAAAATGAAAGGGGAAGATAACGAACAGTGATCGATCTCAAAAACCTACAAACAATACAAATCTGTGAATAGGCATAAAACAAGGACCACTGGAAATTCCAGGGATGGGATAAGCTGCTTAGGAAGAATAAGCATCCCCTGTCGAACGTTTTCATACTAGACATTTGCATTCCTTCCTTTTGATACCAACAACTTTGGCACTGAACTTAACCTTGGAGTTGAACCTACTTTTTAAAAAGTTTAACCTTGGCCATAACATTCGAACGTTTGGTTCTAGGGCTTTCACATTTCACATCACGTGTATCACTTGTAACATGACCTTCCCTTGTGCACTGTTTGACATTGACCTTGCCGTTTCAATTACTTTGAAAAAACTTATCTTTCGCCATAACTTTTCAACGATTGGTGCTATGGCTTTCAAATTTCACAGGTATATTCCTCGAGACAAGACCTTCCTTTGGGTACCAACATTTTTGATAAAGATAGAGGTGTGGTAGAGCAGTTGCTGGATTCGGCAATGTATATTTGTTTGTGAGGATTTAAATGAAGTTTTGGAATCCAGTATAGGTAGGGTAGATCGAACTTTAGTTAACTCGAATGGTAAACGTTTTAAAGAGTCGACTAGAAAAAGTGTTTTTGAAGAATTTCATCCTTAGGAAGTGAACTATGCGTACAAGTTGGATTTCTAGATGTAGAATTCTTCTTAAAGACAGTAATGTTGTAATATTAAGCCTTACAAACAAAGAAGATATTATTATATATATAATCACTGTCTGTTGGAACCGTAACATATTGTTCATGTTATCTTTCTAATTCTTTTATCCTTCCAACTTAGTGAAAATGAAAGGATATGTGGTTCGCATATTGCCTTTTATCTTTAATATATTCCTAAAAGACTTTATCCAGTCTGATAAAGTGTTCAGGTCTTTCCCCTTCATATTTCGCCCATCTTGTGGCATAATCCTTGACAGATTCATAATAGAAATGAAATATTGATGCAAATTTAAAGATCAGGACTTATTTACATGTGTGTAACTCTTATTTAGTATGGTAACATAGAGAGATGGACATACCTGCACAAAAGTTCTACATAATTATGGCCTTTTGTCATGAAAACCATGTCTCATTTCTGACCGTATAAGACCTAGATGATTGGAATGGAAGAAATAATTTGTCAAAGCAGAAAGGGAAGGGGTAAATTACCTACAGAATACACTGCATGCTGAGATGCTTATCAAAATGGTCAAACCTCAAAATGTGCCCTTTGTTGTAAACCCCATATTCAACTTTATTTTACAGATTTCACTTTTTTTAAAACGTCCATGATTGAGAAAAAACTATCAATTTTTCTTTCCGAAAAGCTTTGAATTTGTCGAATTATCCCGAGCTTAAATGAGGTGTTTCACATTTGTCATGTATGAACTTTTAATCAATGGCCTTGATTTTCACTTAATGATCTTGCACAGCTGTTAGAGATCTCTAATGAAAGATTTTAAAGGTCAAGTCAAGTCAAGTAAATTTTATTTATAGTCGGCATATATATACAGTATAACATAATAACATGAGCTATGATAGCTCTTTAACCGACTTTAACAAATTTACATAGATAAAAGTTAGTAAAAGTATACATAGTTAGTAAAAAAAAACATAATTTAAATAAACCATAGGAAATAAGCACATATACTAGCAATAACAGCAGAAATTGTAATGCACATGTATAACTATCACAAGTAAGAAAGAATCTGACAAAGCACAATACAGAACACACATTTACTATCACTGATCATGCTAATGGAAAGAATAAAAACTAAAATAAGCAAAGGAGCACAAATAACATTTGACATATATTACTATCATATGTAAGTACAATCACATAGCACATTTACTAGCACCGATAGAAGAGAAAACTGAAAACACAAGGAAAGCAACATAGACAGTAATTATACATATGACTAGCATGCATTTGGACAATCACAGAACAGGAAAATAAAAACAAAACAAAATATAAAACAAATTCATATTGGAAATAAAAACTTAAGATACACCACAGATGAACACTTAAAAAGGCTTCTCAGACATAGGCAGCATGGACTGGTGTTTACGTAAACTACATTTACATGTCTGATTTCCACACCAAGTAGATATATAGTTTTTAAATAAATTAAAGGATGTTGTGTTTCGAATATCATTAGGGAGAGTATTCCATATCCTTGCTGCCTCATATCTGAAAGAACCTTTTTCATACCTTGTAGTTTTTGGTCTAGGAATATCTGCGGCTTTAGAATACCCAAAATTACATATGTTTATGAATTTTCTCTAATTATAACCAGATCTTGGAGAAAGGCTGGACCCTTTTTATTAATAATTTTAAATGTTTCTAATGCCAGCAATCTCATTCTTCTAGTCTTTAAAGAGGGCAATTTGGATCTTTCCAATAATTGTTCATATGTACTTTTATAGTCATTATAAATAAAACGCAACGCTCTTAACTGAACTTTCTCAATTTTCTGAGTATTTTTCTCACTACAGAAATACCAATTCAAGGGGCAATAGCTAAAATTCGACATAATAAAACTATGATATATGGTAAGCTTTCCCAATCTTTTCAAGTATTTCCCAATCCGTTTCAAAACATTTAGTTGTCATGCTGCCTTCTTACACATCTCTGAGATATGAGTATTAAAATTTAGTTTAAAATCAATTGTAATTCCTAAAAGTTTAACTTCATCTTCACATTTGATGATAACATTTTCCAAGTTAAAAGATATTTGTTGTTTTTGTGTTTTGCACCCAATTGCAATTGCTTGAAATTTTCCAGGATTTGCCTTCATTTTATTAATTGAAAACCATTTAATAAGAGATAAACTGTCCTCCTATAACATTTTGTAATGTTTTGTGAGATTTTGCTAGAGTATTGTCATTGCATAATTATAGAGGTTACAGTTTTTAACAAAAAAGAACAGGTAATTAATGAAGATATTGAAAGATACAGGTCCAAGAATGGATCCCTGAGTTACACCTTTCAGAATATCCAGCATTTCACTTAAATGAGAACCAATCTTAACACATTGTTTCCTATTTGATAAATAACTGTTTAACAAATCTAATGCTTGATTGGAGAGACCATATGCTTTAAGTTTTAGAAGGAGCAGATCATGAGGAAGGCAATCAAAAGCCTTTGATAAATCCATCAATATCGCAGCTATGTATTCGTTATTATCAAGGGCATGTTTTCAGTCTTCGATAACCCGTAAAAAGGTTGATTGGCATCCAAAACCTGGCCTAAAAGCAGCCAAAAATGGGTTAAAAATCTTTTCAAAATAGCCAGACAATTGAATTTCAATGGCTTTTTCAAAATTTTTAGAAATGACAGGGAGCAAACTGACAGGTCTGTAATTGTCTTTCATAAGAGCACTAATTTTCTTATGAATAGGTGTAACCTGAGCTTCCTTAAGCTTGTCAGGGAAAGTCGAGGATAATAAGGACAAGTTTATAATATTTGTAATAGGTTTAACTATAATCGATTCTGCTAAATGGAGTAATTTAGATGATATTCCATCAATTCCTGTAGCCTTCTTTACATTTATTTTACTGATTCTTTTCTTAACGAAATTTTCGGTCACACTAGTAAAAGAAAAATCTTCAGGTATATTTTTAGAATTTGCTTGAATAGTTGCAATACCTGGGTGTTTGTCATCAACTTGCACACTATTTTCTCCTATATCTTTGGCAACATTAACAAAATAATTATTAAAAATTTCACTGACTTCTTCCTGTTTGGTAAAAAGTTTATTTTCCTCTGAAAGAATAGTGTCACTTACTGTGGTGTAATAGCCTTTGTTTGTTAAAAAGGTTTCACATTGGGCCAGAAATCACTAGATTTAGGACCCCCTGTGCATCTTTCCACAAAGTAATTATTTACTGACTTATTCTGAAGTTTAGTAACTAAATTTCTTTGTTTCTTGTATTTCTCCCAATTTTCATTTGAATTTATCTTAGTAAATTTATGAAACAACATTTTCTTCTTGTATATTTCTCTCTTCAAATTTTTGTTCATGTATGGTACTTGATTTTGTAAAATTTTCCTTTCTTTAAGGGTTGCATGATTATTTACAACATCCAAAAAACATGAATTAAAATTTTCATAAGCTAGGTTTACATCCCCTTTTTCTGACATATCTAGATTCTGGCTTTGCAGTTCTTGTAAGAAATTATCAGGATAAAAATTTCTAAAGCTTCTAAAAAGCTTGGTTTTGTTTTTAGTTTTTGGAAGAACACAGTTTAGTTGTATAGAAATAAAATTGTGGACATCACTG